TTAAAGGGTAGAACTCCCAATTACTTGAATCCAAATTTTTATACTTGATGGGAACTATTTAACCATTGGGCTGGTTCAATATGCACTATTAATGTATAATTGTAACAAGAACAACGATCTTATTCCACGAGAAATTATAATAGACATGCATAAGAATGCCATTTAAAGAGGCATATAGACAACATTATTTGATGCCAGCCAACCATATGGCAGCATACTTGTCACACACGGTACTTTATTAGTCACCAGTAGGTGGAGTAGACACAAGACCAAACCCAAATAGTAACGGATACTTGTCACGCACAGTCCTTTTTATTGGTCGCCCGTAGGTGGAGCAGATGTTACACACAAAGTTGTCATGCGCGTCCGCTTGCTGCAAATTGACAAACAAAATAATAGTAACAATCAACAATGCAATTGCTGTTAAAAGTTAGGAGTGCTAATGTTATCTTTTGAAAAAAAAAAATGCGAGAAACGTAAACTTACCAATTGAGGCAATGATCCAACGTTGGATAGTTTTTCCAAACCAATAATCGACCCCAATAGGCTCACCATCCTTTACATTGCCACCATTAATATCCCAACACAGGTTAGTGTTATTAACCATTCTTATAGATTTGTAAGGATCTTCATAATTCAGGTTCCACTCAGTCCATAGCAAAGAGTTGTCATTAATATTGCCTGTGTAAGTAATCAGTGCCACCTAAAAAAATAATAATTCTTTTGAGTGAGTAATCCGTTCCATCTAAAAGGGAAAACTCTTTTCGGAGAAATAAATATATACAATGAGAAATTTTTTTTTTTATTGAAATTATAGAGCAACTATGAATAAGGCCAGATTGAACTTTGAACCTTGAACATTAAACCGAACTTTGCCACCTGCTCTATTACTTGAAGTATGCAATGTCAAAATCTATAAAGACATCATATTATTCTTACAGGTTGATTGGCGGCAGGATGCTTGATGGCTTGGCCAGTAGCACAATTAACCAACGCAAAGCCACAACTTTTCTTGCCCTGGGTGCTTGACTCCACCCTGTACCATTGCTACAATATGGCCGGGCCCAAACAATGTATTAAATACATTGACAAAAAAAAAAAGAAAATAAAAAGACGACATTAACCCCCGATAGAGATGTGAATGGAAGTACCTGGCACTTGTCTGATGGATCAGCTGAAGCAAGGACCACTCTGTTATTTCCCACACTTACAGAATAATTAGGTCCTGCCTGACAATAAATACTAACAAGGGGTCCCTCTGGTGGCGGTGGTGCTGCAAACAGAAAGTGTAGAAATAATTAGGAAAAGCAATTATTGAAAGTTTTTCTTCTAATATATAAATTTTGTTACATGCAAAAGAATTTCAATGCTAAAGGGTGGCTGAATTGGTTAACATCATCAAACTTTAATTTAGAGATATCAAATATAAATTTGAGTTTATCAAAGAGAGATTTGGAAAAAAAAAAGAATTATCTCATTTGTATAGAGCAAAAAAATCAAATATATAAAAATAGGGATTTAAAATTGATTTATTGAATTAGAAAAACTAAATGGCACTAATTTTGTCTATCTATATTTAAAAAAAAAATTAATGAAAAATTAACTCACCACATGGTGCAATGAGCCAGCGCTCAGTATCTTTTCCAGACCAATAATCGATTCCAATAGAAGCACCGTCCTTTACATCGCCACCATAAACATCCCAACACAGCTTAGTGTTATTAACCATTGTTATAGATTTGTAACCATCTGCATCGCCCACGGTGCACTCGGTCCATAGTATAGACTCATCATTGGTATTTTCAGGGGGAGTTACTTCCACCTAAAAGGAAAACATTTTTAAGAAAACAAAATTCAAGGAAAAGTTTGCAATATATCTAAAGTTTACAAAAAATACCAAAAGAGGTTGATACTACTAATTTCAAATTTTGATTTAAAGTCAAAATTAAAAATTTAAACTCTTACGATATACTATCATGTAGCTTATTTCAGATACATGTATACCCAAAAAAATTATATCAGATTTATAAAGACAACTTATGATTCTTACAGGTCGATTGACAGCAGCGTGCTTGATGGCAAGCAGAGTGGCTTTGTTAACCAAAGAAAAGCCAGAGCCCTCGTTATTGTTTCCTTGGCTCTTCTCAACTTTGCACCATTGCTGCAAATAGACAACCATACGCGATACATATCAATTAATGCAAACCAAACATGGGATAGATAATGCAATAAGGACCAATCCAGACAGCAATGTAAATATATTTCATAACTGTCCGAAGATGAACAGCGAGGATCGTCACTGGGATACAGGGGTCACATAGAGGTTTCACCCCTGCGAGAAGGGCACGCCTAAGGTGAGAGGATAGTGAGGGAGACATGTCCACGATGAGAGGACCAGAAAGGTAGCCACAATGGTTTAAAAATTCGACCCTTTATGTTAGAGAATCTAGATTTTAAATTTGAAGTCTAAAGTGAGAAAGAAAGAGTTTGAAAAAGAAATAGTTATCTCTTGTTGTGTATATGTATACCCGATACTTATCATTGACATTTGCCGGAGCCAAGGCCACCTTGCCATTTCTCATGCTGACGAACAGGGTTGGTGCAGCCTTGCAATAGATATTACAAATTGGTGCGCTGCTGAGGCCCTCCATTTCTTGATTTTTGATCTGTTAATTTAAAGAAGCTAAGAACAAGAAATACAACGATACTTCGAGTTGGAGATTTACGGACTACTTATTATATAGTGTGTGCAGGTCATCTAATAAGCATTTTTAAGGGTAATGCTCTAGCGACCGATCAGTATCCCGGCCCGATTGGTCCCTACAGTTTTTTAGATTTTTGCTTCTTAAATTTAAAATTTTAAATTCATTCTTTTTTTTTTTTAATACTAATTCTCCAATATCTAGAAATCAAATTAAACTCTAATTAATTCGTAATTGAATCGTGTCAAACCTCATATAAAAGAAAAACTCTTATACCGTTTGTTTTCTCTACTTACAAAATTCAAATTTGAAATTTTACTTAAGAAAAATAGAGTTCTTTTCACTTATACCAACAACACATTGGTTAAATTTCACTCTTTGGTCCTACAATTTTAATTTTTAAATTACTAAACACCTAAACTTTTAAATATTAAACTTTAAACCTTAAACCTTGAAAATATAAATCATAACACATTAAGCACTAAATTTGAAAAACCCTAAACATTATAAAGTATATAACTCAAAAAATCTAAATCCTAATATCATAAAAAACTGAACTCAACAAATTTAAACCCTATCTCCTTAAATACTATACCCTAACACCCTAAACACTTAATCCAAAAAAAATCTAAACCCTAACCTCCTAAATATTAAACCCTAAAAAATCTAAAACCTAATTAACCTAATAAACATTCAATTTTAAAAAAATCTAAACCTTAAAAAATTTAATTTCTAACACCTTAAATCTTGAACCCTAAAAATATAATCTAATCCTTAATATTACAATCACTAAACCCTAATGCTCTAAATTAAAGTAATCTTGTTTGATTCTAAGGACTTAAACGATATCTTTTAAATATAAGGACTTAAAAGTTATAGTCTTATAAACTTGAGGCCTTTTGAATTAGTTACGCCCTTTTTTTTTTTTTGAACAGCAAAGAAGATGAATATAATCAAACTGAGTACAAGGGGTACTCAACCCATAAAGTTATACTAAGCAACAGATATCCTATGTTAGTTTCACCCTTTCTCAGAACCAGGAATCAAACAGAGCTCGGCCTTCAGTCGGCATCACAGCTTCGGCCGCTGTAGCATTATTCTTTTAAACCAAAAAATGACTATTATTTTGAGATAAATTTTAATTATTTTTAAATAGAAAGAGTAAAAAAATAGCAACTTGGCCTACAATATTAATCTTTTTCATTTGATACAGTTTTATTATTTGCCCTGCATGATCTCTGCTCCAGTTTAAGAAAACAAGTGAAAGATGCAGACTGGTACGAAAACTTTGTATTTTTTTTAAAAAGCATGAATGTGGTTGTCACGCCCCAGAACCCGAATCCGAGGCACGACAGACGCCGTGCACTCGTGAGACAAGTCCCACAAATGCACAAGGTTCGGAACTTACTGAACAAAATCAATTTTGATACCATAAAATTTCCAATTAAAATCTAACTTACAAGAGCGTGGTATACATGTATCTAAAATCTATGCCAAATCTCAAGGGGCTAGCCTTTTATCACGTCACTCCCTTGATTTCCGAGTCTCGGGGCACACTACCTGAAATGGCGGATGAGAAAAACGAGGTGAGATAACTCAGTAAGTAAAATATGGATTGCCCTTAATTAAACTTATAGCATGCCAACAAGTGTAATCACGAAAAACGGATACAGTACGGGCACAAAATAGACGTCTCCTCTATAGGTCATGGCCAGCGTTTATAAACCTCCCACTGGCGGGCACACGAGTACTAGTGTATAATCCCCACTAGTAGGGCCACGAGCGAACCGGTTCTATCACGAACATGTCAACATGTGCTAGCGTTTATAACCTCCCACTAGCGGGCACACGAATAACATGACCATATCGGAGACAAAACAGGCAGAAGTTAACAGGCAAATCACAATTCACAATCACTTTCAGATCATCAGGACAGTTCACAATCACTTTCAAGTCACTTTCAGATCATCAGGACAATCACTTAAATTTCAAGTAAGCATGCTCAATTTAGTGAAAAGCATAAAACATTTCACTTCAAATTAGTCATACTTGTGTAAAACGGGTTTAGTCCTCCCACCACTTCAAAAACAAATCAAAACATGCTTTTAAAAATCAAAGGGCGTTACCATAATTTACTTACCTCACTCCGCAAAACCGAGCACTCAAGTCACGCACTAAACTGACAAAACGATCAAGAACCTAATCAAAATATCCACGAATTAATTACCGGACTATCACAAATTCACACTGAAATCATCATTAGGATCATTCCTAATCACAATGCTATTTCCATAAATCTCCACATGATCAAATATCTCCAAATTCGTTCTTATATCAAAAACTAATCACTAAAATTCTCGTTAATTGTTGGCCCTCGTGGTGTGAACAGTGTCGGTGAACAGTACCCATGAACAGTACCACGACGTGAACAGTAACCCCGACATGAACAGTAACTGCACTTCCAAAAATTGGCCAACACACTAGCTAATCACGGGGTTTTCTCTCCAAAAATCTCACAACAATCAATTAACACTCAATCACATAAATCCCACTTCAATTAAGCTAAATCATGGTCCTAAAGCTACCGGAATTCCCCCATTTTTCTAGCAATTCACGGACACACAAGGCAGCAAACTAAATGGACAATTTAAGCCTTAAAAGGCTGTCACATACCAGAATTTTCCAGCTAAAACCGGAGCTGCAAGGGGGGAGGAGGCCGGCGGCAAGTGCAGGGGAGAAACTCACGGCCTACCTCAAAAGTTGGAGAAATCAAGAGCAATTAAGGTAAACCCAAGGTAATTCAAAGCTAAAGAGATGAATTCATGGCTGCTTCTTACCAAGAAAGACCGAAAATCACACCCACAAGCAAGAGCAGCCGGCGGACAGGGGAGGAAAGACAGAGCAGATCCGGGATTTTCCAGCAGGGGAAGAGATTTCTGGGTTCCAAATCAGGTTCTTGGACAAGAAAGAAGGGAAAAATCAAGCTCTCTACCGGTTTCCTCAAGCATGGCTGTCGGGTTCCCCTTTTTTTTCTCCGAGTGGCTGCAGCGGGAAGAAGAAGAGCAGAATCGGGCTGAGAAGAAAGAGGAAAAAGGAGAAAAAAAAAGAAGTCATCCTTATTCAAAATCTTTCCCTCTTTAAGTCAATGTTTTTGAACCCGGCCCGGTGGCCTACCCGTTTTGGCCAGCAGATCTGGTTCAACCGGTTGAATCAGTTCACCCGATCGGTTCAACCGGTTGACTAAAAAACATTTTTTTTTACATTTTTTCACATTTTCTGTGGCTTCTGTTTAGTAATGAAGGGGGGCAAAATCAGTTTGGTCTGGTGAAGGAGAGGAAGATGGGTGGCGGAGCTGCCGAGATCTGAGCAAAATCAGGGACGATCTGTTATGCTTTGTTGCTTCT